TCGGGAAACACCGTGTAAAGCAATGGCTAGAAAGCATTTCCTGGGGAGGCTCGGAGCCGAGAAGACAGTCTGTAGCCCCTGCTCAGGGTGGCAGTTCCTCGGCAGGGCCAGGAATCTGGATGCCACTGGGGGCCATGGAGTGGGGCTGCGGGGAGTGGTGGGGGGAGGACCTGTGTGGTTGCAAGCCTGCCAGGGAAGGGGGGAGAAGCCGTCTGGGAGGCAGTGTGCCACTGGGGGAGGGAACAGACCTGTGTGGGTGCGAGCGTGCCGCTGGAGTTCATCACTTCGTGTGAACCTCTTCCCACAGAAGAACCAGTTGCAGACAAAGGGCCGCTCGCCGGTGTGCAGGCGCACGTGGGCCCGGAGCAAGGATGTCTTCCGGAAAGTCTTGCCACAGTCGGGGATATGGCACACGTGCTTCTTCTTGCCCTGCTCTCCAGACCTGGGAATGGCGAGCGGGAGGGAGGGAAAGGGAAAAGTAGTGAGGAAGGAAGAGAAGATGGGGGCAGGATGGGATGGAGAGAGGATGTGGGGCAGGTCAGAGAGCACAGAGGAGGTGAGGAGGCAAGGTGGTGTGGAGTCGCTACCTTGCCCCCCCCGATCTGTGTCCCAGGAAGGCGCTTGGGGAACAGGCACATGCCAGGCTGCCAGGCTGGCTCCCATTACCTCTTGTCCCCATCCTTGCAGTTGGGACATGTGCAGGCCATGCGGCGCCGCTTCTCCCCGGGCTGGGCCTCTCCAGACAGGGCCTGCTCCATCTGCAGCTGGATTTGGGTGGGGCTCAGCCCACTGATGGTCAGGTTGTTCCCAGAAACATTCTGCACCGTCAGCTGCTGCTGCCCTGTGGGGAGCGGTAGGGCATGGTTGGGGTGAGGAAGCCTGAAGGGACAGAGCCGGGAGCCTGACACCCTCCTTCCCTTCTGCACATGATAAGGATAACCGGAACAGCTAATGCTTTTGAGAGCCTGTTATATGCCAGATACGCCTTCAACCTTCACAGTCCTATGAAACAGATACATTATCCTCCTTTCACAGCTGAAGAAACTGAGGCCCAATAACATATCAAGGTCACACAGCTAGTAAGTGGTAGGACTCGGGTCTGAACCCAGGCAGTTGACATCAGCATCATTGTGCTGAACCACCACACCACACCAGCCAAATGTGCTTTCACGTGTTTTAATTGGGAAGGGTCTTGTCTTGAGGGGTGTTTCTTCCAGAATCTCCTCCAGCCTTAGGCCTTTGTGAGATACCTGCTCTCAGGAAAGTCTCCAGGGATTTCTGTTTATAAGAGTAAGAGCCAGGCTGGTGTGGCTCAGTGGTTGAGCGTTGACCCATGAACCAGGAGGTTAGGTGTGATTCCTGGTCAGGACACATGCTGAGGGTGGGGGGTGGGTTGCAGGCTTGATCCCCAGTAGGGGGCGTGTAAAAGGCAGCCAATCAATGATTGTCTCTCATCACTGATGTTTCTATCCCTCTCTCCCTCTCTCTGAAATCAATAAAAACATATTTAAAAAAATAAAGAAGACAGTTCTGAGGGCTTTGGGGAAAAAACCAAGTCCTCTAGGACTTGCATAAAGCCTTTCAAAGCAGGGGAGTGCTGCTGACCTATTGCTGGTGTTCAAGTGCCACTACCCTGTAAAGGCCTTCACCTGGCTAAAGAAGGCAAGGCAAGGAACCGTTTTTGCCAGGTAGCTACAATATTCCTTTGCTGATTTGCAACGCTGCTTTCATACTGTAAATATTACCAAATATTCCCACTCAGCAGAAGTGAAGCACAAGCCATTCCCACTGCCAAAGGCTCCTTCCTGTCCTTCCAACGTTAACTCAAGGCTTTCCTCATTCTGGAAGTCTTCCTTCAAGTTTCTTTACCCAGGGCCTCCCTTGAAGATGTATCTGTCTTTGGTCTGTACCAAACGAATTTGCCTTTGGTGTTAGCTGGAGTTTTCTCCTAGCATATCTTAGTCTCTCCACCATATTCAAGGTCTTCAGCTGTAAGTTGGGGCCAATAGCATCTTACACTATCTCGCAGGGCTAAGGACCGAGTGGACACGCTTTTAAGCGGGAAAGGATGAGACAAGTGTCAGGTATTATCCTCACTCCTGTTCCTGGGAAGCACGGGGCTGGCGCACAGTCCGATGCGAGGGATGTGCAGGCACTACCCACGCCCCAGCCCAGGGGTCTTCCCTCACCGCCGGCGTTGGTGATGGTGACAGGCACGCCCTGGACTTGGACACCATTGATGTTGATGGTCTGCATGGCCTGGGCCGCCGCCGCCAGCTGGGCTGCATTCAGGCTGATGATGCTCCCGGCAGGGGCGATCTTTGGCAGGGGACGCTCTTTCCGGAGAATTGCGGCTGAGTGTTTTTTGCTGGTCCCGCTCGGATGGGGAGCACGGGGTGCAGGACTGCTACAGGTGGTGGCAGAGGTGGGTGCAGCTGTTGCTGGGGAGCTGTCCTGGAGAAGGACCGTCTGCACCTCACCGGAAGGCGTACGGAAGTAGACCTGGGAGGGACCAGAGAGAAAAAGTCAGTGTCCCAGGAGAGTCTGGTTCCCGCACTTACTGCCCACCCCAAACGATACTGACTCTGAACATTCAGATCAACTCGGGAAATGCATCAGCAGCATCTTCAAAGGCAAGCTGAGTGGAGCGCTAGCCAGTTAGTGCTAAGGAGAGGAAGGCAGGTGCAGAGGGTGTGCGTGGTACCTGAGTAGGCGTTGGCTCGGCCGCCTGGATCTGAAAGTTCTGGGAGGGCTTCTGGGGGACAGTGGGGAGGGTGGCAGATGCCGCCTGCACCACTCTCAGGGCCTGCTGGGGGATCTGCACCACCTGCTGCTGCTCGGCCTTGGGGGGCACCACCTGGACCTGCTGGACCACAGCTGGCTGGCCCCCGCCAGGGCTCTGAACAATGAGCAGGTTGTTTCCTGCCTGGATGATGTTGTCCGCCGTGGTCTCGATCAGCACCGTCTCCACCTGCTCAGCCACAGCCACCGAGGGCTGGGAGGCAGGAAGACTCTTCTTCCGGGCTTTCTTATTCGTCTTGGACAGCGGGATGGGAGGGCTCTCCGTGAGGAGCTGAGTGGAGGCCCCGGTGTCGCTGGTGTTCACAAGGTTGTTGACAGGCAGAGTAAGTGTCACGTTGCCACCCCCACCCGTCAGCTTCACCACATTGGCCCCGCTCTGCACGGGGGTGGTAGTTGTACTTGACTTCTGGGCAGGGGCTGGCTTGATGGGGACAGGCTTGTGACCGGATGGTGAGGGGGTGATGATGGCTTGGTTGGTGCCAGGGATGATCTGGATTTGGTTGGCGAGATTGGGCTGTACTTGGATGGTCTGGCCACTGCTCGCCTGAATCTGAGAGACTGCCTGGTACTGGATGTTGGCATTTGCTCGGGTCCCTTTGTTAATCACAGTGGGATTCTGGATGGCGAACACCAGCTGACCCCCAGGATAGGATGTGCTCAGTTGTGACCCTTGAATCTGAAGTATGTTTCCTTTGGAGGACAAGATTCCAAAGCTATTCTTGCCGGGGCTGAGAGGGAGAGGGGCAGGTTTGATAGGGACCAGTTTCCGTGGTGTGGGCTGTGGGGGAGCAGGAGGTGTCACAGCAGCCTCAACAGCTGGAGGCCCAATTTTGCTACATGTTGCAGCAAGCAGGGCTAAGGGAGATGGCTGGGAATCCTGCAAAAAACCCAGAGGAGAAAAGGAGTGAGACATGAGGGCCTGTAGCCCAGCCACCCTCTGCCTGTTTTGATCCTCTCCTCTTGGCAGGTTCCTCCCCACTTCCGCGGCAGGCAGGGTGCCAGCACCCTCCCCCTGCAATGGTCCTGTTGTCCCTGCTGGTTTCTCCATCCTATATAATAAAACCCTAATATGCAAATCAGCCAAACAGCAGCAGACCAGTCGCGATGACGCACTGACCACCAGGGGGCAGACGCTCAATGCAGGAGCTGCCCTCTGGTAGTCAGTGCACTCCCACAGCAGCAGAACCGCTCAGCCAGAAGCCGGGCTTACGGCTGGCGAGTGCAGTGGCCGAAGCCTCTCTCCCACCTCTGGACCCCTCAGGGGATATCCGACTGCCAGCTTAGGAGATATCCCCCGAGGGGTCCCGGACTGCGAGAGGGTGCAGGCTGGGCTGCGGGACCCGTCCCTCCCCCAGTGCACGAATGACGTGCACCGGCCTCCACTTGAGTAATAAGGGAGAAAGGGTGGGAAATGTCTTTCTCAGGAGGGAGTGCCCCAGAAGCACCCAGGACAGGGTGAACTAACAGCATGAGCTGGCCACTTACTCCCCACTGGGCACAGAACCACCCTGAGCTCGTACATGGAGTTCCGTTGGCTCACCACAGCGATTAAGGGATCCCTGATTCCTCAACTGAGGAAGGGAGAGAGGGAAAGGAAAAGGGAGGAGCAACAAGAGGAGTAAACCCTCTGGACAAGTGTTTTCTAGGGACATGACTTCACTGACCAGGGAAGGCTGCTCTTTTGAGGCTACAAGGGAGTCTCTGGGCTGTGGGGACACAGTCTCTATTTTCCTTCTATGGTCAGTGGAGTCTAGTGGAAGAGACCTTGAGTTTAATCCTGCTTTTCCCCCTGACCCAACTGTGGCACCTTAGGTTAGTGGCCATGGTTTCTTAGTTCAGAAACAGTAGATAACAACTTTCCCCCTGGTCTCCTGTCCTGGGGTGTTTACAGTGAGTGCTCAGTCTGTTTGAATGGCAGCTTCAGGAGTCCTTCCAGGCTGATGCGGCCCCCCACCCTCAGAGCCCACTCACCTGGGTGCTGGAGGCAGCGGGCTGCAGGTAGTCACTGGGACTGACAGCAGCAGTGGCAGCCATGCTGGTGTGTGGATCTGCTGGAAGAAAAGAAAGTAATGCACAAAATGCCCCCAAAGAACCCAAACCCACTTGCCTGGTATTTCCGTTTTGTCTCTTTGCTGCCGCTTCTCTAAGAGCTTTCCCCACACTGACCCACTCAAGCTGAGCAACCTGCATCTTTTCAGCAGGTGCCCTTCTCCTCTCCTCAGACTCAGCCATCCACGGCTGTGAGGACAGCTGGTCCTGCCTTCCCTGGACTGTCCCCTCCAGCCAACATAAAGCCTGAGATAACACGAAGATGCTGAGATTATACCAGGAGCAGCTTCCGTAACTGCACCGTGAACCTATGGAGCCCTCTCTGTGGGGCACTGCTGACTCTCCCGAGGTCAGAACCCCTGCATGGTGGGTGGGGAAGCCCCCTCCCCCAGCTACTCCTCCAGCCCTGACCCAGGTTTCCTGCTCTGCTGCTGTGGCCAGACGCCACGCCAGCCTGGAAGAGAAGCTTGGCTCAGTCAGGATCCCTGACGAGGAGGACACATCTACTCCATGCCCAAGTCCTGGGTGCTTTATGCTCAGCCTTCACCACAAAGGCCCAACGGCCCAGGTATTGATCTATAGCATATGGAGAAGTGCTTTATGTGAATTTACACTTCAATGTAAGACAATAGGTATCACCTGGTTGGCCCAATAGGTATCACTAAGACTAGGTAGCTAATCACTGAATATAATGAGAATAAAGATAGAGTAAATTCTATTTTTGTTTAAATGTGTATGTATTTCAATATATGAATATAGCAGGAAAAAGTCTTAAATTGCTAAAATGTTAAAAACCATTATCTCCTGGTAGTTGGATTTTGCTTGACTAAGAGAATTTTTCTCCTTGTTTTTCTCTGTATTTTGTCATTTTCTCACAATAAATGTATTCTATTGTACTCTTTTTAAAATAAAGGAAGATAAAGAACATTGAGGAAGTAATTAAAGGAATCTCTGCTCTGAATTAAGTCTCACCTAAGATAAATATAAGATAGGTAAAATGGAAATCATGAGAATTGGGGGAAAGAATTTAAGCCATCTTACAGTTCATACATCACTGAAGAAAAAAGGACACAGGGCAGAGTCTAACTTGTATCCTAGACCCTTAGAAAGTAGATTTTGGGAAGTACAGAAACAAGAAGGGTATTAATTACTTCAGAGGCTCAAAAAGGCAAAATGGCTTAGGCATTGAGCCCCTGCTGGGCATCTATTGAGGAGAGGAGAGGTTGGGGAGAAAGTGGAACAATTCAATTTTCGCTGGCCTCTGGCTTCTCTCTATGGGAGAAGGGTGGTTGTTGTTTTTTTAAAATATATTTTTATTGATTTCAAAGAGGAAGGGAGAGGGAGAGAAAGATAGAAACATTAATGATGAGGGAATCATTGATCAGCTGCCTCCTGCACGCCCCCTACTGGGGATTGAGCCTGCAACCTGGTATGTGCCCTTGACCAGAATCAAACCCGGGACCCTTCAGTCCGCAGGCTGACGCTCTATCCTCTGAGCCACACCAGCTAGGGCTGGGAGGAAGATTCTTAAATGGGAAAAGGTGAAGAAAAGGTGAATGGGGGACTGAATCAGGACAGGTGATGGACTAGTAAGAAGGAACACCAACGCCTTAAATGGTTCCCAGGCTCTAAGGCCACACAGCAGCACTTCAGAGGAGGAGAGACTTTGTAGCACAGGAGTAAAACGAGTGAGGAGCCAGAGGGCAGCTCCGGGCAAAACCCAGAGTAGAGGGAGATCTGGAAATATTAGACTCTGATCCTTGTCAAAACCCTAGAATGAATGATTGACCAGCACTACAATTACTGAGGTAAGGGAGCAGGACAGTAATCATAGGAGTAAGCACACGGCTGCAAAAAACGTCTGTCATCCTGAACAAACCTGTTTTGTGGGGGTTTGGCTGGATACGTCAGAATGGTATACGCTGCACATTTTCTTTCAACAAGGCACCTGGATGAAATTTTTGTAATATTCTGATAAGAAGGGAAGGCATTGCAGGCAGGATAACAGTCTATTTCGGGGGCTAAGTTGAACGTGCCTCCACCTAAGTGTTGAGATCCATGCTGTCTAGCTGGCTGCTGCGAGGTCAACCAGGGTGCCTCACACTAGGGATGGGGCCCAGGACCAGGGTCTGCAGGCTTCTCCTCAGAGGCTCCAGCTCTCTCTACCAGAATGTTTTGTTCTTGTTTTCACTGTGAAGATTATCTTTTAAAAAGGAACAAATACTGTAGGTCGCTGGGTGATTGTTGCTTACCCCAGATTTGCACATTTCAGGGCCGATGTGTGTATTTACAACTGCACTAGTGCCAAGTGGTACTATTCTAACGGCGTGGGCTAATTAAGACAACTTAATTCTGCATTTAACTCATTCGATACATTTGTGCAACGTGAGGGATGACAGCTCTTCAGAAACTGGGAGGATTGTCTCTCCTCACTAGCCACTGCAGGGTGGGCGTGCGGAAGCCACGGAGGCCATGGTGTCAAGTCTGTGCCGTGCTTATGTTGACAACAGCGATTCAAGTTCACACTAATGTCGTCCTCCCAGAATGTTGTCGTCGGTTTGAATTTTACTGGCTTTTGGGTAGTTATTTAATTAATTTTATAGGAGCTAGATCAGTGAGTTGATACACAGATTTATGTGAGTACATAATTAAGTTGTAGCATTATAATGAAAACAATCTAAGTTGACTCAAAACATCTTTTCTCTACAGCAGCGTTCAAACTATTCAGACCATGAACCACAGCTATAAAAACAATTTACATCAAGATCCAGTGCACACACACTCACACATACACCCACACACTTCCTTGTCCCGTGCTCATGCAATAAGAGTTTCCAGATGCCCTAGCCAGTTTGGCTCATTCTCTCATCATTGATGTTTCTCTCTCTCTCTCTCTCCCTTCCTCTCTGAAATCAACATATATATATAAAGTTTCCAGAAACAAAATATGCCCTTACTACATGTGATGGACTTTGATATTTTCCTACTCTATTTCGTATTTTTAAACTATTTTTAAAAATTGGTTTTTAGAGCTCTGGCTGGTTTTGCTCAGTGGATAGAGCATTGGCCTGCAGAATGAAGGGTCCTGGGTTTGATTCCAGTCAAGGGCACATGCCTGGGTTGTGGGCTCGATCCCCAGTGGGGGGTGTGCAGTAAGCAGCCAATCAATGATTCTTATCATTGATGTTTCTATATCTCTCTCTCTCCCCTAAAATCAATAAAAAATTTAAAATTAAGAATTGATTTTTAGAGAGGAAGGGAAAAAGAGAGAAACGTCAATGTTTTTATTGATTTTAGAGAGAGAGGAAAGGAGAGCAGGAGAATCATTGATCAGCTGCCTCCTGCACACCCTCTACTGGGGATCAAGCCTGAAATCCAGGCATGTACCCTGACCGGGAATCAAACCCATGACCCTCTGGTTCATAGGTCCATGCTCAACCACTGAACCCATGCCAGCAGGGCCTAGGCTTTTATTTTTAAACTAGAGGCCCGGTGCATGAAATTCATGCACAGGTAGGGTCCCTAGGCCTGGCCAGCTATCAGGGCCAATCAGGGCCTTCCCTCGGGCTACCAGCTTGGGCCTCCCTTCATTCCGTGCCACCCCTGGTGGTCAGCACATGTCATAGCGAGCGATTGGGTCTCCCGGTAGAACTCCCTCGGGGACAATTTGCATATTAGGCTTTTATATATATAGATGCTGATTGTGACTCACTAAATTGCTTTTGTGCCACAGAGACTGGAAATTGCTGCTTTAGAGTAGTCTAACCACCTCCCAACTTTGGAAAACTGTCCAACGACTTAGTAGGCACGTTCAATTTGCAGATGTCACAAGACTGAGAAGGATTGCAAACACAATGGGTGTCAGTATTAGGGTTCAAAGAGCTCTTTAAAAAATGGTATGTGCAGAAGGCTCCAGACCTAAGTGAGAATTTGTACTGTGCTAGCCATCAGCACCCTCTATAAAACATAGGTAGTCATCCTCATGGGATTCCAGGAGGCATCAACAATTGATATGAAAAGCATTAATCATGTAGTGGGTAATCAGTAACTGGTGGTTTAAACTTTAAAGTTGAATAAATTCTTAAGATTTTTAAAAAAGTAAGATGTAGCCGTAGCTGGTTTGGCTCAGTGGATGGAGCATCAGCCTGCGGACTGAAGGGTCCCAGGTTCGATTCCGGTTAAGGGCATGTATGTTGGTTGTGGGCACATCCCCAGTGGGGGCTCATGGGATTCCAGGAGGCATCAACAATTGATATGAAAAGCATTAATCATGTAGTGGGTAATCAGTAACTGGTGGTTTAAACTTTAAAGTTGAATAAATTCTTAAGATTTTTAAAAAAGTAAGATGTATATAGGACAGGAAGACAGAGCTTAATCGTGAGCCTCATGTGAAAAAGCTGCAGTGGTTTTAACTCAAAGCTAAACAGGCGCCAACAGAATCTTGATGCGGTTGCCAAAAAAGCTACTGCAATCTTGCACTGCATTTCCCAAAGTTCAATCACAGAAGAAGAAAAATAATAGTCCTAGTGTGTTCTGCACACTTGGGCTACATACATCTGAGTGGCATGTTTCATTCTGAGGGACATTTTGAAAGGGGGCTTTGCAGTAGGAGCTGGTTCAGAGAGCAGCAGCAATGGTTGTGACCAGGGTGCCCGAGCAGCAATATCCACCAGGGTATTATATTCCATCCTGGGTTCAAAGGGTGGAACCAAGATTTCAGGATGGAAATTTCAAGAAGGCAGATTTCAGATTAAGAGGGAAACTTTCAAAAGATGGAATAAGTTGCCTTTTGAAGTAATGTTCTCCCTTCTCTGGAACCATTTAGCCTGAGGCAGAGTAAGTGTCTGTTGGAGTCAGGATGTCTAGATGGGGTGGGAAGTTGGACTGAATTGCCTTTTAGATGTTTACAATTCTCAGACCACGTTACTGATAAAAACACAAGATGAGTTAGCTGCTGGCAGGGCTGGAAAGGGAAAGCAGAGGCTTTCCCAGGAGGCTCCCTGGGCTCAGGTTCACTTAGCTAAACTTGGTGAATGACTCTCCCTGAGACATCGTCGGTTATGAAACGGAAGGACATCAGAACAGGACAGAGTGCAAACAAAATGAAAACTGGCCTAGAGCTTCTTACTCACCTGCCTTTCCCATCTCCCTGTCTCCCGCTGCAGTCATTACTACCCTGGACTCCAACTGTTTGGAGACCTGGCGGGGCTCTGAGTGAGCCTTCAGTTAGGAAGCCACAGCAGAATCTACCGAAGCAAGCTGCAGACTGCTGGCGCTCGACGTTGCACCATTTCAATTTGGTTTCATTTTCCTCCCCAGCTGGCTCTTGAAATACTCCTCTAGATTGCAAGCCGATGTTTGTATCTCTCCTAGGATCACTCAGAGTTTTGTGGCCCCTGGGCAACCAAAACAGAGAGGATCTCGCTCCCCGCCATTGCAGAATTATACCGAGATTAACCATAAAAGGGAGAAGAGAAGCATTTCCCGTTGGTGTCTGGAAATGAGAAGTGGTTAAGAAATGGCGCAGATAGTAACTACAAGACTCTGATCAAAGTACTTTAGAAGCGCATTAATTTGGAACCTTATATTTAAAATGTGTAATCTGGACATAAATTGTGCTTTCCTTCATATTATTCAAAGCAATGCTAAATAGTTGTATGAAGACTGCAAAAGGACTCCTACTGTTTTATACCACGTCCACCATTTTAATTGTACCGTTTGCTTTTCTTTTTTTTATCCTCACTCGAGAACATGCTTATTGATTTTCTTAGAGAGAGGGGAAGGGGGAGGGAGGGAGAGAGAGAAACGTCAATGTGAGAGGAGAGAAACATCGATCAGTTGCTTTCCTGTACACACCCTCAACAGTGACTGAACCCGCAACCCTACGATGTACAGGACAATGCTCCAACCGAGCCACACGGGCCGGGGATGTACCACTGGCTTTTAACAGCAGTTTACATCCAGTCACTGAACCCTACATTTAGCAACATTGGTAAGTGGGATTATTGCATACTCTTGAAAAAGAAGGTGTCATTTCTTTCAGAGTTCTATCGTTCAGGTTGGCTAAGACTTTCCCAACAGAGATTTCACCTCGGCTGGTGAAACTTTACAGGGATTTACTATACAGGCAAGAGTAGCTCTCAGGTTTCAAGGAAAACTTCCAAGGTCATCCAACAAGCCGTCCAGTGTCTGATGGGACTACTGTCTTTCCTTTCTCTATACTGGAAGCCAGTTTAATTCTAAGACCAGCAGAAAAGCATCCCGAGTATCCCAGCTCTTGATATACAGATAGATCAGTGGTTCTCAACCTTCTGGCCCTTTAAATACAGTTCCTCATGTTGTGACCCAACCATAAAATTATTTTCATTGCTACTTAATAACTGTAATGTTGCTACGGTTATGAATCATAATGTAAATATCTGATATGCAGGATGGTCTTAGGCGACCCCTGTGAAAGGGTCGTTCGACTGCCAAAGGGGTCCCGAACCACATGTTGAGAACCGCTGAGATAGATTATTCATTTCCACCTCTGTCCCCTCTGACTTGGCTTCAAGCACCTTCCATAGGCTGACAACTCCCAGGTCCTCTGTGGCCCAGGTCTCTCAGCCCAGTGCAGACCGGTACACGCAGCCCTCTGTGGGCCTGTCGCTTGGACTGCCCACAGAACCTCCCACACTGAGTTGTCACCTCTGCCCACTCTCTCTCCAGCTTTCTCATCCCCTGGCACCAGGGGCCTTCTTCCAGATCCTTGAAGATCCTTCATCTCTCCACTGCCCTTTCCTTGCTTAGAGCTCTTTCTTCTCTTACTAGCTAAGACCTACTCATCCTTCAGGTCTCAGCCTGTTTTTTTTGTTTTTTGTTTTTTTCAGCAAAATTTACTGAGAGACCACTACGTAACAGGCATGTCATTTCCTCACAGAGGCCTTCCAGGACCCCTGAGACGGGAGGGCTTCCCAGGGTGGGCCAGGTCTGTTTGCTGAACAGATACACTAAGTCCAGTCCACAGCCCAGGGACCCTTCAGTGCTGCAGGCTGAGTGAATGACTGGTTAAACCAGCCTCTCTCCTGGTATTTCCAATCACAATGACATCTGAGGATCATCCCCATTGCCAACCAATCAAGCCCTCCTGATTCTACCTCCTAAATATAAAGCTCTCTACAGTCCACTCATTGCTCCTCACCTCCATCGCCATTATCCTAGCATTAACCACTGTGGCTCAGCCTGAAATACTGCCCAAAGCCTTCAAAATAGCTCCCCAGCTCTGGTCTTGCCCCTCTTCTCGGGCTTCCATAATCTGGTCAGAATCATTTTAAAATGCAAATTCCATCCAGCCTCTCCCCTTATAAAATCCTGCAAGAACTTCCAGTTGATCTCATGATAAGCTTATAGAAGTCAAAACCACCTGCCCCTCCTTCCCCCCTACCTCTCCTACTTATCTCCTGCCCTTCCCTCCGGCAGGCACACCGTTTTCTCCATTTTTGGACCTACAGAAATGCCCTCTCTCACTTGGAGCCCAAGCATGCTCTCTTCCATTTGTTGATCTCCAGGCCTCCTTCCGAGGTCCTTTATAACTTACTGGGGGGAAACTTTCCTCTCCCTCCCACCCCCACAATGTGGGGTAAATGCTCCTGTTATGTGCCCGGGTACAGGCACCAGGGCACCCTTCACAGCACTTCCCCCCACACAGGAGGGAGTGTGTTTCTGTCCCGGGGGTCTTTCCATGGGCATAACAGGAAGAGGCCTGAGGGATCCCAAAGCTCTGGCCATCGGACTAGGGGCTGTTCCACTGGTCTTTCACTTGAGACGCAGAGAATGAGAGAGAAAAGGGGACCAAAGAAATACTACAACAGTAGGCTTCACGAAGCTCTTTCTCCTCTGAGAGAGAACTTGACTCAAATTCCATAGCCAGATCTTGTGGGTACGCAGCTTTTTTTTTTTTTTTTTTTTTTTTTTGCCTCAGGTTCCTACCATCCCAGCGATTGCTTTCTTGGCCTCCTGCTATGGTATTTCCCCTGGAGGAATTTCACTCTGCACAAACAGTCCTTCTGCTGTCTATTTTGGTCAGCTCAGCTGGCCTAAAGCCAACAAAACAGTTTCTAAGCCTAGTCTTTCCCAGTTGCCTTGCCTGGAAGAATTCAGAGCTGGTAAGGGAAAAGCAAACCAGGCTGGTTTTAGAGAACAACATCGGACCTCAAAGGGAGTTGACAAATGGGCTAAGTCAGAGAATCAGCTTGCGAATGACTCCAAATTGCACAGAATATTTCCCAGAAGCTAATCTCCAGCAATCACAATAACCATATAAAAGAGCTCTATAACAGTAAAAGAAATTTTTTTGACTTTCATTAAATATGAACAACTCTGGGGGATGCCTTGCTAATGCCACAGGCCAAAGGAGGAAGGTATATAAAGAATGGAGCCCTGGCCGTTTGGGCTCAGTGGATAGAGTGTGGGCCCTGGGACCAAAGGCTCGCAGGTTCGATTCCAGGCCAAGGGCACATACTTCGGTTGCAGCTGGATCAGAATGGAGATCTTGTCTCCACCCAGACACTTTACCAAGCCATCCAGTCTTCCCTACTCCTAACTTTGATCCCATCCGCAGCCCATGACCCTGATGTGTGTCCACAATTTCATCAGGAAGTTAAATTTTTGGCCTGACCGGCTTGGCTCAATGATTGAAGAACGTCAACCTATGAACTAGGGGGTCACGGTTCAGATTCCAGGTCAGGGCATATGCCCGGGTTTCAGGCTCCATACTCAGTTGGGGCACGCAGAAGGCTGCCAATCAATGATTCTCTGTCATCATTGATGTTTCTATCCCTCTATCCCTCTCCCTTCTTCTCTAAAATCAATAAAATTATATTTTAAAAAAAAGTTAAAATTCCCTTTATTAGCGAAATCTATTATTTTTTTCCAGAAAAATTCCTTGCAAGAGTCACTTGTATTTACTGTCCCTAATTTCTTCCCAGCCAGTCTTTCTTAAACCTGTTCCAACCATGTTGCGCCTGCCCCATCCACACCACAAACACTGCTCACACCACCAGTGGCCTCCACCTTACTAAGCCTAATGGTTAACTCTCAGACTCATCTTCTGCGCTGATCTGGCAGTTGACCCCTCGTCCTCCTTGAAACACCTTCTTCACTTGACTCCAAGACATACTTGCCAGGTTAGCCTCCTACCTCTCTGACTACCCCTTGTAAGACTCCTTTACTGGGTCCGCCCCTCCCCCCAAATTCCAAGTGGTTGAGCTGCCCCAGGACTCAGTCTCCAGACCCGTTTTTCTTCAGTTTTCACATATTTCCTGGGTGATTTCATCTAGTCTCATAGTTTTAAAAAATCAATAATGAGGACTCCCAAATTTATATTGTCAGGTTTGTATATCTGACTGCCTACTGAAGTCTCCACTTGGATGTATTAGTAAGCATCTCTAGCCCAAACAGGGCTACTGATATCTCATTCTGAGCCTGTCAAACTTCCGCACTGCGGTGAATGACACCCCATCCCTCCAGCTGCTCAGCCCGAAAGCCGTGGGAGTCATCCTGGATCCTTCTTTGGTTCCACACTCTGCATTGGAGTCAGCAAACTTTTGGCTCTACCTTCAAAATACATTCAGAATCTGATTGCTTTCCCCACCACCTCTTGTTACCACCCAGGTTCAGGTCCCCATCATCTCTCGCCTGTGTAGCTGTGAAAGCCTTCTTCCTGGCGGGGCTTCTGACCTGTCCCTGTTAGTCTTTTCTCAACAGGCATCCAGTGAGACCCATCAAACTTAAAGCATGACGTCAGTCCTCTGCTCAGAGCCCTCCAATAGCATTCCATCTCCCATTCAAATGAAGAGCCAGAGTCCCCACAGTGACACCCAGGGCTTGTCTCCTGTGACCTCTCTGACTTCGCCCCGATCATTCTCCCTCACTACGTCAGCACGAGGCCTCCCTACTGTTCCTGAACGAGCCAGATAAGGCCCCTCTCAGGCAGGGCCTTTGCACTTGCTGTTCTCTCTGCTTGCGTTCTCACCCTCTGTCTCTCACCCCAGATTGAGTAAGGCTCAGTCTTTCCACTCTTTCAGTTTTATGCAAATGTCATTTCCCATAGAGGCCTTCCGAAACTGCCCTATAAAATTATACCCCCCACACACACACATTTTTCCTCTCCTCTGTTTTTCTTCTTAGCACTTCTCCTTGCCTAACATCTATTAGTTCAGGGGTCCTCAAACTTTTTAAACAGGGGGCCAGTTCACTGTCCCTCAGACCGTTGGAGGGCCGGACTATAGTTTAAAAAAAAACTATGAGCAAATTCCTATGCACACTGCACATATCTTATTTTGAAGTAAAAAAACAAAACGGGAACAAATACAATATTTGTATTTGCATGTGGCCCGCGGGCCGTAGTTTGAGGACCCCTGTATTAGTTATTTATTGTCTCCCACTAAGATGTAAGCTTCCTAAAGGCATGGACTTCTCTCTGCCTCACCCATTGATATACCTCTGTACCGGGCACATAGTAGGTACTTAATATATATATTTGTTGAGTGGATGAATGCATGAACCCTAGAGGCTGCAGAGCGGGAGAGCCTATATGGAGCTTAAGAACCAAAAGAGAAAACCTGCAG